TCGATTTGTAAACAAAGCCTCCCAGTGATGAAATATAAATTATTTTGAACTACCTAAACAACCGAAATTCACAATAGCGCTATTCTTCATCGAATGAGCGCCATAATAGCAAATGAAAATTAGCTCGATCAGCACTTTCGACCACATTCGAAGATCGAATGTAACTCATAATAGCGGCCTAATGATACTCCTCCATTTTGAAATTGCCACAAACTGTACTAAAACTGTACTATACAGATTCAAGAACGATTCACCATCGGACCAGATAATTGTTACCACAAGAACTTCTTCACGGACATAACGCTTTCATTAGGTTATTTAAGACGGCAATGGAAGATATGCCTTCTGACGTGAATTATTGGTAAAAACGTTGGACGAAATGTTTAAATAAACAGTTTATTTTGGGCGGGACGAAGTCCGCAAGGTCTGCTAGTAATAACATAAAAACCGATTTGGTTTTTTTTTTTTAACTCGTAACTTCAATTCCAGTTCTGCTTAGATACAAAAATTTAAAACCAAAGGTTTGTCTCTGCGGGAAGGCATCGGTGTTATTGAAGGGAGTAAAAATAATTAACTCAAATGGAGAAAAACATATATTTGAAACCAATTAAATTCAGTCTTGAAAATAATTAAGGATTCATATCTTAGCGTAATATAATCAGCATTTCTTTTAATAATAGTAAAAAAGTGACAACTAAATCGATGCATTTACACCACTGGAAATATGAAAATTTCGAATTCCGTCCAATGTTTGAAATAAACTTAATAAAAAACAAAACATTAAACTGTACTTAGACTTTTTATTGTTTTTCGAGCATATTTGGTAGCATACTTACTAATGTTTTAATGTTCATCTAAGCGCTTAAAATTTTTTTCCTGCTTATTTTCTTCGGTCCTGCTCATCACACATCACTTTAACTGAAACACCATTTTGTTGTTTTTCCAGAATACTGATAAATGAAAGAAATGCAAAAAATTCAAATTTTTTGTGCGTGGCGTGCATTATCAAATAAAGTTGTAGGTAAAATTGTTCTGAAGTTTCACTTATAAAGGTTACAATGTTTTGACTTGCATTAATCGAGGAATTGCACATATTGAGGGTTGCGGTTAATTAGTTAGTTAGTTGGTTGGGTAAGGCACTGCCACCGTTAGGTATATTGTGCCCCTAGCTCATCACAACACCAGCCCCAGAGTGTCTATAGACTTCATAATAGGCCCCGGGGACAGTGAGTATATGTGCTCCTCTCTTGGCCAGACGTGCGCTATGCTCCTATACCTCCTACGCGCAACGGCCTCACACGCCATAAGAAGGTGTAGGGGAGTTTCCCTGGCCGCATCGCAGAAGCGACACAGGTCGCTGGACCAGATACCGAGTTTGTACAAGTGCCCTCTGAGCCTACAGTGGCCAGTCAAAAATCCTATAATAACTCTCATTTTATCCTTTGGAAGATTCATGAGTAGCCTGTATCTTATCAGATTGTAACCTAATAATATGCTTTTAGCCTGACACTGACCCATAGTGCCACGCCAGTGCAGTTCCCTCAGTTTGCAATTGTCCCTTCTGAGTATATCCTTTATGGTACTGGGTCCCACTGCCAGAAAGGGCTCAGGTCCTATCGGGGTCGAGGAAGCAGCTAATCTGGCCAGATGATCAGCCTCCTCATTTCCTGCAACCCCCATGTGCCCAGGTACCCACATTAGTTGGATATCATTAACCTCCGCCAGAGAATTAAGCCTCTCGACACACTCCAAAATAAAGGAGGACTTCATCTCGAATGATGAGAGATCCATAAGTGCCGCTTGACTATCACTTTGTATAAGTATCCTTTCATTCCTATAGTTCCTGCTAATGTTAATCTCTGCGCACATACTTACGGCATAGACCTACACTTGAAAGATGCTTGGGAAGGTTCCCAGGGGCACCGAAAGCTTCAGCCTGGGGCCGTACATGCCTGCTCCAATCCTCGCAGGTGTTTTGAAGCCGTCAGTGTACCACTGTATTGTGCTCGCTTGTATGTGCCTTTCCATAATAGAGGTACACCAGGTCGCCTTGCTATAAGTATAGGTCCTGAAATTCCTTTTAAAGACAACCTATCTGTTGATATCGTCCCTGGGAAACAAAACCAGGGGGAGCTGGGTACCTAGCTTGTCCCTGTTCCTAGATGATAGCACCTTGCCTTTGCCGAATCCCTCCCTCGCAAAGTTAAGGATGGTTCGCTTTGCAACCTGTTCAACTGAGAGTTGCAGTGGTTCGAGTTCCAGCATTACCTCCAGCGCTGCCGACGGGCATGAGCGCATTGCTCCCGTAATGCAAACACATGCCAGACGTTGAAGCTTCGAGGGGGTTTGCCTCACCGTTACCATAGTAGTCCTGGAATACCAAGCCACCGCACCATAAGTCACTATAAGCCTCACTATCATGGTGTACATCCATCTGATCATCCCCGGAGTGCACCCCCAGGATTTACTCGGCAGACGTTTGCACACCATCATCGCTCCCGTGGCCTTAGAGGTGACCGCATCAACATGGGCCTTCCGCAGAAGCTTGGAGTCCAGAGTAAGCCCCAGATACTTAACCTCAGTGGCGACATTGATTACGACCCCATCCAAGGTCAAGTTCCTCATCCCCAGAAGATTTCGTTTCTTGGTAAAGGGGACTATAGCTGTTTTATAGGGGTTTATATTTAAGCCTACGTCTGCGCACCACCTTTTTACAAGATTAAGACCTTTTTGGACGATGTCACAGAGAGTATTAGCGAACTTCCCTCTAGCGATAATCACTATGTTGTCCACGTACCCTTGGCAATGGACGCCCTCGTTCGTGAGTATCTGTAGGAGTTCGTCCACAACTAAGCTCCACAGTAGAGGAGATAGTACTCCCCCTTGCGGGCACCCTTTTGTCGTTTGTATTTAAACGACGCTGTCACCGACTTCAGTTTCGGCGACCCTGGCCTGCAGTAACCTTGCTATCCATCGCCGGATGGTTAGCTGAACGTTATGTTTCTCAAGAGCTCTGTCGACTCCCAAATGAGAGGCATTATCAAAGGCCCCCTCGATATCGAGGAAGGCACAGAGCCCCACCTCATCACACTCAAAGGCCCCTTGTATTTCCTCCGTTAAGGCATACAGCGCAGCGTCCGTGGATCTACCCACCCTGTACGCGTGCTGGTCGGAATGCAGAGGGGTTCATTTTAGAGTGTTAAACCTGATTTCATGGTCAATAGTTTTCTCCATTGCCTTTAACATAAAGGATGTGAGACTTATCGGCCTGAATGACTTGGCAAGAGAGTAATCTCTCTTACCTGCGTTCGGGATAAAGATAACCCTGGCCCTCTGCCACACTTTGGGAATGTGGGCCAGTGCTAGACTGTCCCTCATAATATCCACAAGATGTGGAAGTAAGAGCTCCCCGCCCTGCTTCAGCAACACCGGACATATACCATCCACCCCAGGGGCCTTGTACCGTTCGAAGGAGTCCAAACCCCACCGCACTGTTTGCCGGTTTATAAGGCTTTTAGCCAGCTTCCAGTCTGGTGGGGATGGCCTGAACGCACGGAACATCGCTTCCCAGGCACGGTTGCAGCTCTGTTGCCTCTGCGCTTGCGCTCTTCGCGCTCACGTTCCTTACGCTCCACCTCTTGCCGTACTTCCGCCATAGTGCGGGCTTCATTCGCAGATTTCCCCTGCTGCAGGTACCGAAGATACCACTTGACTCCCGGCCCACCAAGACCAGCTCGATGGTGGGCATCAAGGGCTCCCCGTTGACCGGAGGGGGTAGTGGAGGAGGTCTGCACCTGCGACTACGCTTCTTATTCTCCTGTAACTGCCACCCTGACTCATGCGACGCTGAGGAGATCCGACTGGAAGGCCTACGCTGCCTACTGCTGGAACGGTGCCTGCTTCTGGAGCGATGCCTGCTCTCCGAACGACGCCGGCCCCTGGACCGGCATCGACTCTCAGAGCGGTCACGACTCCCGGAGCGACGCCGACCTAAAGTCCGACGCCTGCTTGCAGAGCGATGCCTGTTCTTCGGGAATAATGCATTTGCTCTCTTGAGGCCTTCCGAACGATGCTGCGCCTGATCCACGCCGCCCCTGCTGGTGCTTGGCTTCTCTTCTTCTCTGTCGTGTTCAATGAAGAGGGCAGCCTCTTCCTCGGTCAGGCTCTTAAGGAAGCTACCCCTGCGCCTGGTGTCCTTACCCCCGCCCAGCATGTTACTGCCGTGCGTGGCCGTTGCTGTTTTTTGTGCTGTTGTTGCTGTTTTCGCAGCAGTTGCTGCAGTAGGTGCTGTTGACGCTGTTGCTACTGTTGTAGCGATAGTTGCAGTTGTGGCTGTTGCTGATGTTGTAGCTGGCGTTGTCGTGTACGCACGGTATATATTTTTCATCGGATAAACAGAAATTAATTTACGAACAACGAAATACTACGAAAAACGCGTTTTTATACCTTAAGTCCAGATTGTGAGGGGGTATTTAAAATTCTAAGTATTCATATTTTTTGTGCATCAATAGATCTTTGTCTTTATCGGTCACACAGTGTTATTATCCTGACGAAATCCGTGACGGTGGTACCGGGTGGGGAACGGTACATGACGGTAGGAGGTTTAGTTTGGGTTAAAGTCTCACACCGACGGAGTTAGGCATTCGATGCTTCCTCCTCGTAAAAAAAACATGTGCAGTAAAAAGTTAATTATTTAAATCGCCGTATAGTTTTATATCAACTTTTGTGCACTTCTATTTATGTGTTTGTGTACAACATACCTCTATTGGTTACAATAATTTTAAGCTGTAATAACAATTTTTTAGTAATAATTATTGGTTTTGAAAACAAAAAAATTGCGTAGCGCCCCCCCCCCCCCCCCCCCCCCCCCCTAAATTTCGTTTTGGCTACGCCCATGTGTAGTTAGATATATGTATATGTATTAATAATTATTTATTCCAAACCAAATTTTTTATTTGTTTGCTTATTATGTATATCATTTGTATTTTTTCTATTTGAAGGATCATAGGTCGTATGAGTTTCTGCCTGAGAAATCTAGTTGCGGAGAATTCGACATATTTGTTCTTCCAAATGTGCCCCTCATAAGCGCGTCTACCAAATTGGAAAACATGAATATGTTTAAGAAAATTTTTGCAGTAAAATTAATTAATGGACTTAATGAAAACGCCTTCAAGCCACTTACCGCACATGATTTTTTATGGGGATATCGTGATCGAATAGTTTCTATGGATTTTGGAACGGGCTCCACACACTTTGGTTTGTTAATGAATGTAAGTACTCTTAATTTGCTCATACTTTGCACACATACATAATTATACAGAGAAGATAAAACATTTATTAAAATAAGCACTAAAATCAACGAAGTATGCTCAATAAAAAATATGCACGATAAAATTTCTTAAATTTGATTAAAAGAAATACAATGTTATTTACTGTTATAGAACAAATGCTTTTATTTCAGGGTCAGTCTTACAATTCCTACCGCATTAAGCCTGTGATTTTAGTTACTCACTTATTAAAAGCGTGAGCGAAAAAACTTAAGGAACATAAGTGAATATACTTATGGTTATCACTCGTACCGATTCTGGCAGGACAGTACCGAATTTAAGATATTTCCCCCCGCTGAATATTTTTTAAAGTCAGGGCGTATAAGTGCTCCGATTTTTTCATATTTGTGTAGATTAAGTCCTGATTTTCAGTGTTTTTTTATTAACTAACAAGAGTCCTTCAGAACATGGAATATAGGGGAGCCAAAAATATATTATTATTATCTCTGCCTAAGTTGAGTAGTTTTTTTGTGCAGATAAATCGTTTGGCTTGTCTCTGCCCTGGACATTCCATCCGGTACCTGTTGAACATTTTGTCTACCCTGTTATTTATGACCTTATTTATGTGTGCTTTGGTGAGCCCACAAAATAGTTCTGGACCATTAAATACTGCGGTAGCTCCTAGCTTCGCTAGGCAGTCAGTCTCATCGTTGCCATCATGTCCTTCATGTCCCGGTACCCATCCCAATAGAACGGTATTTTTTGCACCAAGAGCGTTTAGAACATTAAAGCAACCATATACTAGCTGAGAATTTATTTTGTGAGACTTCAGTGTCAGTAGGGCTGCCGACAAAATGTAGATATATTGCGAGGATGTGCCTCTTCTAAGGCATTCTCTGCCACAAATTTCTATTGCATGAATCTCCGCTTGAAGATTGGTATCGATTTTTTGAAGTTCGGCCCAAATTTGCCAGCCCCAGTTTTACCATCATCATGTTTAGAGCCATATACGTACCAAACCTCTCCATTTAGTTTGGTGTATGGGTTCCCTGTATTCCAGATAGCTCGATCTGCAATGTGTACCTAATATTTTCTAGAGATTTCTAGTTTTAGAAGTATTGCTTCACGCATTTGCAATATGGGGTCTTTGGCGAATTTCATTAGGACCCTCATGTGACCCGTCATATTTCCGCTCTTCAGATAAGAAGTGTTTAGGATTTTTAGCGCCGCGGTGGTCGCCTCTTTTTCTATTAAAATAGGAAAGTGAGTTATTCCAACCAAGGCGCTGAGTGCATCAGCAGGGCAGGTCTTCATCGCCCCTGTTATGCCAATGCAAATCATTTGGTGTAATTTACTTAGTTTTGTACTTGCAGTCCTTTGTGTAGGCTTGGTCCACCATGCCAAGGATGCATAGTTAACTACCGGTTTTACTACAGTATTAAATGACCAATAGGTCATTTTGGGGGTAAGGCCCCAAGTTTTACCAAGAAGTCACGAACAGGCAAAGAAAGCCTTTGTCGCCTTGTTGATAACCGCATCCAAATATGCATTCCAGTTGAGTGTTTTATCAAGAGTTACCCCCACATATTTTGCTTCACTGGAAAATTCTATTTGTATCCCGCCCAAGAGAGCTTAATCATAGTTAACTTTCTCCTTCGAGTAAAAGGTACAATAATAGTTTTCGTAAGATTAATAGTTAGTCCTTTATCCTGACACCATTTTTGTGTGGCTTGTTGCATGCGGTTGGTGATGGTTCCATCCGCGTAACCCTGAGTATCAAAGCCTTGGCAGTTTATTTTGAAAAGGGGTTCGTCTATAACCATAATCCACAAAAGGGGAGAGAGTACACCCCCTTGAGGTAATCCCTTGTGGCTGTTATCGATTCTGTCGGGCCTCCTAATTCCATACTGATTTTACGTGTTCTTAGCATTGATAGAACCCATTTATTTATTATTCGGCTTATACCCTGGCTCATCAAGGCACCATCTATTGCCTTATATGATGTATGTATGTATGTATGATGTTTTCGCGGCGCACTCTTTCGAAGTGGAGCTGTTGGATTTGGCCCTCCTATTGGGCGATGCTTTCTTGCCCATGCCCTTATCAATATAGTGCTTGAGGCGTCTCCTGGCGGCTCCACACAGCCGCTCACGCTCTCGAGCCTGCCCGGGCATGGCGTTGTTGGTCGGAGAGGCCACTTCCCGGGACTTGCATTCAGGACAGTGCATCCACCATTTCTACATCATGCAGAGGAACACTTGCCATTGTTGCAGAGTTAGTTTCGGCTACAGCCGGAAAGCCAAGATTGGCCTGGTTTTAGTTTTGGAGCTCTTCAGCTCCGTCTGGCTTTTGCAAAAAAGTATTTTTATTTATATTCATAGTAGGTCCCACGAGTATGGGGGAAAGTATGTCAGCTGGGACATAGCCCCTATTATCCCGAGCCGGACTGCTTACAACCAGAGGTCGCCAGGTATCTGGAGACCACCGTTATAAGACACAATAACGTAGTGCCATTCATCCCATAAGCACGGTACCGATAACACACGGAAATACGGGTTTTATCGAGTTGTCCTCTCTAGATCCGCCATACTCAGTAAAAGCAGGGGCACCTCTCGCAGGGTCTGACTCGTCGCCACGCATGGTCGGTCTTGAACCATCTGTTCCTGACTTAGAGCATTACACCACGTATGTAGCAATACCAAGAGCCTTGACCCCAGCCAAAAATATAGCCAGCATCCTTATTATCTATGATCTTTGGTTATTCTCATTTTTGTTGTTTCCGACAGGGTAGGAGTGTGATATAATGTGGAACGATTTTCCGTCATTCCTTGTCAAATTCGATGTGTGATCTTTGGTTATTCTCATTTTTGTTGTTGGTGTTTCCGACAGGGTAGGAGTGTGATGTAATGTGGAATGATTTTCCGTCATCCCTTGTCAAATTTGGTTTGTAGACTAACCGGTTTCGGCGTTGTGCCATCTTCAGTGTTAATTTTCGTTTTGAATAGTTTCAGTTTGTTCGTCACTTTATAGCTGTGCTAAATCGTCGTTGGTTCTTAGTTAGGTACGTCTCAGCGGATTATATTCTTTCGTTCAACCAGTGCGTATAGTAGCCTGAGTGGTTGGAATAATATATCAGGCGCGGCGTTTATGTGCTCATTTATTATTTTTCCATCGAACACCTTATTTTTATATCTCCATATTCTCTAATACGTTGAGGCGTTGTCCTTTGTGCTGTATGTACATGGAGAACTTTGGCTGTCTTTCCTATTTTCATTGGCGTACAATGATTTTTTGTCATATGGTTAGCGAAGTTCAATTCCGTTGTGGTAGATGGTTTAAGCATTTTTTGTTGTAGTCCCTTATATGTTTACGATATCTTGTTTTTTTCTTGCGCCCTGTTTGTCCAATTTAACTGTGTTGACGTTCGCAAGTCAGCTTATATACACCTTGCTTGTCTAGTGGTCTTCCTCATTTGTGCTATTCTGTAGTATCCTTCGTTCTAAATGCTGTAATAATGTCATACTTTAGCCAATTTATATGATGTTTTACCCGTATAAGTTAAGACTACCCAAGCGTTTTCATTATTTTCCTTCTTATTTGATTTCTTCGTTTTCGTTTCTCTTCTTATGTTGTTTACTAGGCCCTTCCTGTATCCGTTCTTTTTATACCCGAGCGCACTTGTGCACAAGGGTATTATAACTTTGTTCACATAACGGTTGTTTGTAACAGGCAAAACGAATCGAGATAGATATAGACAAATGTATACATAAATGATCAGAATGAAAAGAGAAATCGATTAAGCGGTGACTGTCTGTCCGTCCGTCCGTCCGTCCGTCCGTCTGTGCACACGATAACTCGAGTAAAATTGAGATATCTTAACGAAACTTGGTACGTGGACTTCTTTTGGGCATAGGACGGATGGTATTGAAAATGGGCGAAATCGGACAATAACCACGCCTACCTCCCATATAACGGTAATTTTCAGAAATACGAAAAGTGCGATATTTTAGTAACTACTGAAGATAATTCACTCAAAATTGATATTTACAATGAGTTTTAGACGAAAAATAAGAATATTAAAAAATTTTGGCAAATGGGCGTAGCCACGCCTACTTATGGTTACATGTGTATATCTTGGTAACCGCTGCACCAAATTCCAAACTTGGCACAGTTGTTGGTCCTGCTACAATATACCAAATGGCCGAAAATTTTTAAAATCGGACAATAACCACGCCCACATTCCATATAACGGTAATTTAGAAAAATACGAAATCCTCGATAAATCAGTAAATATTAAAGCTAATTTATTCAAAATTGATGGTTGCAACAATTTTTTACCAAGAAATACGCTTATGATACAATTTTGGAAAATGGGCGTGGCACCGCCCACTGATGATCACATATATGTATCTCGCTAACCGTTCGAGCAATTTGAACCAAACTCGGTATGGTTATTGTGCTTGCCACATAAAAGCAAAGCGTTGAAAATTATTGAAATCGGACTTAAATTACGACCGCTTTTCATATAACGGTATATTTCAGAAATGCTTGAAACTGCAATATTTCGAAATTTAAGGACGCTAATTTACTTAAAATTTATACACCCCGGCTTATCGTGTAGCGGTAGCTTTCGGAAAGGTAGAAAACATATATTTAATAATTGCGCCGGGTATTTAATGTTCGGCTCCGCCCGAACTTAGACTTTCTTACTTGTTCGTATTAAGTTCTTTGCTGTAAGCTTTTTTCCAATGGGGTTCGTTTAAGCCTGGTTATAAGATTTCTTAAGGCTGCATATTGTGCTGTTGAGGGCGGTTTGAAGTATTATGTATTATCGCGTCTGTGGCTGTGGGCTTTCTATATATCCAAATTCGCATTTGTTGGAAACCTTATTTATTTTAATTGTTAGGTCCAAATAGTTTACTTTTCCTTCATTTCTCTTATCCATAGTGAAATTTATATTCGTGTGTGGTCGCTGAGATAGCTGGCTTTTGTTCTTCCTTGTC